TGGACAAAAACATACCATCTGAATAAATCCGCTCCAAGAACAACCTTCTCTTGTTAAGCCACAAAATAAGAAAGCTGCTTTAAACGAAACAACAGTTATACCAACAAGCTAAAAGAACTAACTAGAGGCTCTAAAGAGCCTGTGTCGCTCACCTTGGTCTATGTGCATATTCAACAAAGGACACTCTCCAACATTGTAGACAAGAATAGAATTCACGACAAAAATCTCTGTTTTGTTGATCTTGTACTGCTGATCATTTAGTCTGTTTAGTTTCTCTCTATATTCGTTAGTTTTTGCATAAAACACAAAAGAGGGTAAAAAAAATCTTGTAAGGGCAATCACTCCTATAAAAAGTGAGTCTACTAACCATATCGGCAAAATTTGACTTGTGAGTAGATCTTGCCTTGCTGATCAATTTTTGTGATTTAAAGTGTCTATTTATCTATTATAATTTTTATCATATAAGGCAAAACACAAAAATAATGTTAAAAATCATCATCAAAGGGCAATAACTACAATAAGGAGTCATCAGACGATTTCCTCCGTATTGTCTTAATTGAAGATCTTGTCTTTCTGGTAATTTTTGCCTATTTAAGTTTCTATCTATCTATCATAATTGTTAAGATATGAGGCAAAAACGCAAAAAAATGGTAAAAATGGTTATCAAAGGGCAATAACTCTAATAAGGAGCCTACTGACGATCAAGACCATTAGACTTAATTGTGAAACTTGTTTTGTTGATCATTTTTGCAATTTAAAGTTTCTCTCTATCTATTAGAGTATTCAAGATAATAGGCAAAAATAAAAAATCATGGTAAAATTTGTCATTTATGGGAAATAACTCCTATTAGAAATCGTCTGACAGATTTGGCGTATATGGACAATTGGTAGAGCTCAACATTCTGAACGTTTTTGCTCCGTCTGAGTTTCTCTATTTATGACGGTTTTCAAAATAATAGACAAAACTTGCATTTTACCCCTATGTTCTATTTTTAGCCATGTCGGCCATCTTGGTTGGCAAGCGAGGTCATCTGACACATTTTTTAAACTAGATACCCCAATGATGAGTGTGGCCAAGTTTGATTTAAATTGGCCCAGCAGTTTCAGAGGAGAAGATTTTTGTAAAAGTTAACGACGACGACGACGACGGACGACGGACGACGGACGCCAAGTGATGAGAAAAAGCTCACTTGGCCTTTTAGGCCAGGTGAGCTAAAAAGTGGACAAACTATAGACAGTTTCAAAAAATGGTAAAAAGGCTAGTCAGGAAAGCAGAATACTCGTAAATCAATGATACTATCATCAAAGGCATTAAAATAAGCAACAACAAACCCATTCTGGAAGTACTTCAGGAAAACAGATAATATCGGAGTATCATCTTTAAAAAAAACCGGAAATCGATCAGTGACAGGTGGTTGAGGGTCGACTCCTCCTATATTATCCAAACCAGTACTTAAATCAGCAAGACCAAAAAGATCCATTGCAGCCAAAAAGTTCGATGACTTTCAAACAGCAAACATTGTTGAGAAACAAGTGAGAAACAACTACTAGATGTTTTGACATTCCCACCAGTAGAACACCACAACATACCAACTCACTCTTTGTGTCCACGATAATTAACTAGTCTAAGAGCCATCTAGAAGACACAGTTGTGCGCGAACCGTCAATAAATCGACGGAGCCTTCATCCCGTTTTATAAAAGCCAGTATTGGTTACTAAAACTAGGGAGCTTATCCATATGAAAACCTTAAAAGAAGGTAACAGCACCTCACATCATTATCCTGTTTCTGCTGACCTCTACATAAAACTAAGAATGAGTAAAAAAAACATAGAGGAAACTTCACGATAAAGATTAATTGGGAATATGTCATCAAAGAAAACTATGAATAAATAGTATTTGAAGAACGCGAAAAGATCGTAAATACTTGAACACGAGAACAACCTTATGGAATCGAACCAATTAAAACCGGACTAAATAGAGCAGTAGATCGACACTATCAACGACGGAAATTAAAATTCAAACGTAAGAAAAGGATAAGTTGGCCACCAAAATTAGCTCAAGCAGTAATAATGAATAAAAAAAAGCATTCTACATTTGGGAAAAAGCTGGGTCACCTCCTAAAAAAGATATATATAACATACGGAGATTTGGTACTAAACAACCAACAAGTTTAATGCAAAGGCAACTAAGTGCTAACAAACGAATTTAGATACATGAAGAAATCACGAGAGCATTGCAGACACCAGAGGCATATACACACATATATATGTCTCTGCAGATACGTATAATTATAATGCAGCCGAGTTATTCTTTTTTTCTTGATTTCAATTGAAATGAATTTACCAGTATATGAAATATTCTCATGATTCAAACAACCGTTAGTGTTTACAGACCATTTATATAATATTTGTAAAACTGGGTCGAAGCAAAGAGAGACAATACATTTACATTAGCTATCGGGAAAAAAAACTGAATCTGTCAATTGTTAGTAATTACTGATAACATGGAATACAAAATGCATGCAAAATGCATATATGGAAGTGTGTAATTTGCAGACTAAACGACTGTCAAACACAACTGGATAGTACGTCTTTACATCTATGTGCCCATAGTTCCTAGTATAAATATTTGTGACGTTAAAGATTTCTACAATTTTGGAACGTTGGGAAAATTTAATTTACAAAAGTGCATACACAATTCATTGTAAATAAAAGCAAGGTGTATGCTTGTAAAATGATATACGCTAATACAAGAACTACCCACACAATCTAAACTACTAGTTTATCTCTTTCAATTTTTTGAAAATCTGGCAATTTTTTAACTTTAGTTTTATTGATTGTATCTGGGATATAATATATTGATGTTAGTATAATAGTCCCAGATTGTATATTGTATTACTGCAAATTCAGGAATTTATATGAAGTTCTACCATATGGTGATATGTTCATTTGTTTGTTTGTTGGTGCTTAACACCACTTTCAGCAACCCTGACTACTATTGATTCATTATTATTTGTGAGATACAAATTTTCATGGATTTCGTGGGTAAAGATGAACAATGTACAAATTTTCTATAGGCTTGTTTGCAGACTTTGGCAATACCACTCAATCAAATATCCACGAAAATGCAATTTTTCTTCAATCCACAAAAAATGGTACCCATGGAAAAAATAAATACCCACAGTATATCAAATGGCTGCCATTTTTGTTGGTGTGGGTAATGGGAGTACTATAAGAGTACCACCAGACTTTGGCATGAAAGCTTTCTTGTCAATTATGATCAGAGTCGAATGCAGGTCACCACAGCATGGGTTCTCTCGGTTGACAGGCTGGTGATCACTGCAGATAAGATGTTCATTTGAATGTAGCTTTATAATTTTTAATGATTCTTGATAATGCAGCCAATTCAGCATACACAACTATTAGCTTTATTCCTAAACCATCAATAGGATTTCAATAAATGTTTACACAAGGACAGGACTAAATGAAGCAAGTAAATTTCATATGGTGAATTATAGAGAGATCACTATTCTCAGATTTAAATTCATTTAAGGAATGACTGTAATATTTTTTCTGTGTATGAAGAAATAACATCAAAAATGTGGTGTACACTGAATAACCCGCATAGCGGGTTATTTTAAAGTGTGCACCACATTTTTTATGTTATTTCGAATAGACAGAAAAAATATTACAGTCATTCCTTATAATTTAATTCTAAATTTCATTTTAAATCGTAGTAAACCATGAAAAAACGTTGATGACGTCACAGTCACATGACAAAATTATGTCTATGAGCTGATAAACAAAACAACGTCAGCCAATCAGAAGACGTGTTACATCCAAAATTAAATTATTATCTAATATCAAAATGCAACTGGTACCAACATATATCATGTATTAGTCACAGCTTTCAACCACAACTTCTTATGGATTAAAAGAAAGTTTGAGACAAAAATAATACACCAAATGAAAATGTGTATGAAGCAAAATGTCTGGTTTGATAATGTAACCGTAGATTGGAGCTGGGAATACTTTATGAGATAGCTAACTTTTTCTTTAGTGTGATGCAGTTAGAAAGAAAGCAGTTCAAACAAACTCGAGCTAGCATGCTACATTTGTGCTATATTTCACACAAATGAAATCCTATAAACCTGGACCTCAAAATAAGACATGAGGCTGTCAAAATGACTTTAGGTTATACAAGGTTTTACTAAATATATATTAGCGAAGCAATCAATATCCATAAATCCTGTGAAGCATAATTGAAAATAGTCAAAATCAAACATGACCTCCATCTTTGTCATCAGAAACAATATATTTAAATCTAAAAAACATTAATTGAAAAATTCTCAAGTTATGGAATAGAAACCACATTAGGTATATATAGGAAGATGTGGTATGAGTGCCAATGAGACAACTCTCCATCCAAGGTGTCATTTTTCAATCAATCAAGGACTAAAACTCCTGAGTGGCAAAAGTGAACATTGTCAATCAACTTCACCTCCATTTTGTCATGAGAAACAAAATATTAGAATTTGAAAGGTTTGGTTCAACCATTTCCAAATTTGGACTTAAATGACATAAAGTGTTATTTTTGTTGAGCCTGAAACTTTTTGTTGAGGAAGCAAGGCATAGAAATCGTTCATTCCAGTATCAGTGGCATCAACATTTACTTTCAGTATGTGGTTAAATTGTTTTGACATCAATATCTCTGTCAAAACTTGATATACTTCATGTAGGAAAATTTGATAAAGATTAGTTTAACAGTTTCAATATAGTGCACAGTTAAAGAAGCCTGTAAGCTAGCCATCCTGCCTGCAAATCGTACTATCCCAAATTACATGTAATATACAGACTCTTTTAAGGGAAAGCCAAATTTTAAAATTTTTAGCATACCCACAACCTAACCTTCATGTTAGTCAAAATTGAGTTATTACGAATCTTTTGAAAAGTCCTCATTTTTTCTAGGAAATAAAGTCACATAATTTTCTGCAGCAAAATATATTAATATAATTTTATTGTATGTACATCATCCAACAACAAGTCTTAATAATCTATAAAAAAATGACTAAAACTATACAAATAAATTAAGATTTATCAACGTTTGACACTATGCCATCTTTCTCACAAAATGAAGTCCTGTAACTCAACAACAACACACATAAAATTGTCAAAATAGTACCAAAACCCTCTGACTAATTTTCTTATAATTTGGAAAAAATTTCTTGTCACCTAGAAATGGCGATGTTAAATATTCCAACAAGTTTACACTAGACAGACTAACAATGGTGTTCCGTAATATGTTCTATCCTTTGCAGGTGTATAAAAAATAACAAATATCAAAAACAATATCAGGACTTTTGTTTACAATATTTGTACATTATGTCTGTTATCTGTTTCAATGTTGCATTTGTTCTCACGCCATAGACATCTAAATGTGTTCGGCTACATTTATATCCTTCCTGCCTCAGGTACTCTAACAAACGACTGAATCTAAAACGGTAAAAAAAATTGTATAAGCATTTTATTCTTTATGAATTCCACATGTACATGATACTTTATAAGTATATTTCATAGTCTTTTTAAAGCAACAGTTACAATTATAATTCCAAAAATGTCTTTTACTATTGCATGTATCTTTTCTAAATTTATATTCCAGAATTGTTATTTTCTTTAACTATTAAATGTCTTTTTTCTAAATGTATATTTCAAAATTGTCCTACATGTCTTTTTTTTCAAAATGTTTGGATAATGCAGTACTTTTAGCGTGTTAGAAGACCCAGAGCATAAACCTATTATAGGGACCAATAGATGACTTGTTTTAAGGGGATTAGATAAAATTTCAGGGAAGATAACCAACTAAAAACGTAATAATAAACGTTCAACATGTTTTTACTAGTTGGGGTAAAGATTGCATTCATGCAATAAAAACCCTTATATGGCTGGCATGATATTTATCTATTTTCCAGACTTTATCATTGTCAAGCCAACATCTGGTATTCAGATACATGTGCATTTTAAAAACGAAATTTAATTTTGTTTTCACTGTGCTATTGCATTAATAAAGAGTATAGCATGAATGTAAGTCATCTAAAATTGCACACTTCAAACAATGCACTGTAAATTAGCAGAACTATCAATGTACGAGTAAACATCATAAGGGGAGGGTTGAGATCTCACAAAACATGTTTCACCCCACCACATTTTTGTGCCAGTCCCTGTCTTAAAGGAACCTCTGGTCTTTGTTAGTCTTGTATGTTTTTGGTTAAATTTTATGTTTCAGAGTTTAGTGTGACATCCATTTTCACCTCAGTGTGCAGGATTTTCTCGCTGTGTTGGAGACCTGTTGGTGGCCTTGGGCTGTTTTCTGCTCTTTGGTTAGGTGGTTGTCTCTTTGACACATTCCCCTTTTCCATTCTCAATTTTATCAGCTCAAGGCATCAATATCATTTTCCTGTTAGTCATTGTATAATTATTAACTTGATTGCCTATTGTTACAAAGTTTAAAAAAGTTAAATAAGGATTGAAAAAATGTCCTACTGGCTCAAATTTGATTTTGGAAGCCCTAAATTTAACCCAAATGTGATCTAGGATCTCTAACTATTCATGACACTTATATATCAAATATAGTCTTTTAAGTCAGCAAGGAGTACTGAAAAGTTGTAGAAAACTTTCACTTTCAAATCCAAGGGTAATAATGAAATAAAAAAATATGCCAAAAAAATAAAACAGGTGTGTAATCTGTAACCAGTAACTATAAAACTTTTTGTTGAATACTTAAAGGAAATTGCCACCTTGGATGTTTTACACTCATTAATTCCAGTTATTGTAATGGTAATCAAGTTGGCTAAGCCAAGTAATTGGGCAAACCTTTAATGCAGATATCCAAATCATTTTTCAGACAATTTTGATTTTAATTGGTCCTGTTGTGTCAGAGAACATTATCTTTAAAAACTTTACAGATGATGAAATGAATACAGACTAATGGTGACGATAGGAAAAAAACATATGCCTGATGACATACTTAGGATGTTCAACAGATTTCAATTTCATGGCATGAAGATTGTAGTAAAATGGTGGCATTGGCTCTTCAGGGGGAGATAACTTTGTCTTCTTCAGATCTGGTTCCTCACTGTCATCTTCTGGAAGGGAACAGTTTGGACACTTAGCCTCTTCCACTAAAGTTTCAATACTGAAATTGTCTGAGAAATTCCAATCCAAGTCTTTACAACCATGTAACATTGAATCTAAAAATGAAACATTGAAAAGTTTTCCTGACCTAAAAAATAAAATAAAACATGGTAATAATTTATGCAAATGTATAAAATTTTCTGAGGTTTCATTGATTTGACATACTGAGGATTCATTATTATTCATGGATAACTATTTTTTGTTGATTTTGTTGGTAAAGGTCAACCTCTGATTCAAGTGTTCAAAAACTAGAAATTTCCTATAGGCTTGTTACAGAAACTGTCCATATCCATAAAATCAAGTATCAACGAAAATAAAAATCCCCCCCCCCCCCCCATCCTTGAAAATTGGTAATCACGAAAATAAATGATCCACAGTAGTTTGTATGGGTTAATTTTTCATGGGACATAATGATTTGTATGTTATTTCTATGGGGGGGGGGGAAGAAAGTGTAAGGGACTTCAAAATAACAGAAAGTTGTAATGCTCTGTTGAAATGTCTATGGTAATAGTATTAAAGTATTTTTAAAAGGAAAATGATTACCTTGTTACATTGGGGTTGTTCTAGAATCAATTATAAGGGGATGGGGGTAGGAGGGCACTTGGAATAAAACTCTAATAAGATAACCAGAACAATTTTTGTTAATAATCAATGATAATGAATTAAAATGTTATGCATTATTGGGTAAAATTAAAAGTGCTTTCCAACCCCTACTGATGAGTCTGTTATACAGGAAACCAGTCTCTGGCACATCAAATAGTAAGCCTGGTATCTTTGATGAGTTATTACCATGACAGGGTTGATGAAACTGCTGGTGGAAGTTTCATCCATTAGGGTATCATCACCAGTCCAGTAATGTACACTTTTGTGTTTACATGAAATATCATACATATATAAAAATAAGAAGATGTGATATGATTGCCAATGAGACAGCTCTCCACAAGAGACAAAATGACACAGAAGTTAACAATTATAGGTCACCGTACGACCTTCAACAATGAGTAAAACCCATACCACATACTGTAAATTCAGAAATTATTGCGTGCATTTATTATTGCGATTTTGTCATTTTATACTTAAATGCGATTTTAATTTTTACGATTTTGAGAAAAATCCTGTTTAGTTCATATAAAATATTTCAAAATGCGAGTTTAAATTATTGCGTTTACAACTCTGTCGCATTTTTCGCAATAATAAAAACCTCGCAATAATTTCTGAATTTACAGTAGTCAGCTATAAAAGTATATGTTCATTTTCAGTAAATTCACTGTTGATGAAATATTGAACTATTCTAAATACTAATGTTTTTCTAACCCCAGTAATAGATTGCCTTAACCATATTTGGCACAACCTTTTAAAATTTTTTGATGTTTCATGCTCTTCAACTTTATATTTGATTTGGCCTCCTAACTATTTAAATTTCCAGCACTACTGATGAGTGTGATGTAGACAAAACGCCTGATTGGCGTACCAAATTATAAGTCTGGTATATTTGATGAGTTTTTATTTCTAGAACAGCCCACATAAAGGTTGTGTCATTGAAAACAGATAATTATTCTGTTGCAAGGACAGAATGTCTACAGTGGACGTTAAGCAATAAACAATCAATAAGAATGTCTATAAGCATATTTGTTGCTTATTCTATGTAATCCTCTTTGTGGGTCTTCCTGTGAAGAAGAAGGGCACTATAACGTTATTTGTCAAACAAAATGCTTATTAGCCAGATTTTGACAGACATGGCTCTATGCTTTGGGTGCATACCCAGAATTATTGTAGGCTATATTTTTAGAGAATACTTTTATTAATGAAATAATGAGATATTATCTACTTCTGAGCATTGTTCATCCATGATGAACCAGATATACTTCACTTGGAAGGGAATAACATATTAAATCATTTTACTGTAAAAATATCTGCTTTCGGAAGTCACATGACATCTATGGAAGGGCTATTGAACATTTTCTGCTTTCTTGTCTTAGAACGCTTTTTTAATGAAATATATAAAAACCAATAAAATATAAGTTACCTACCAGGCAGGTCCTAAAATAACAGCAGTCTTCCCAGGATTATTCTTGTTGCAGGAACATGGTAGCAAACTGTATGGGTCTTCTGAAATTGTTAGAAAATATTTAAAGCATGAAACATGGAGGTATCAACAAGTTTCTTACAAATGTTCTATTTAAATTTCATTAAGAGCAAACTCTAGATGGGTATTAGAATTTAACATGAAGTCATCGATTGCTGTATTACCTGATCAAAATTCATTTCATTACCTTAAATATTTTGGAAAGGCTCTTTTAAGATTTCAAATATATCATGCATGTTTACAGAGAAAAAGTATACTGATAAAGAAATTTTAGAGATCTATCTTGTTACTTCATATATAATACTGTGGATTCATTTATTTTCGTGGGTACCAATTTTCGTGAATTAAGGGAAACTTACATGTTCGTGGATATTTAATTTTGTGGTTTTGCCGAAGTCTTCATATAAGCCAATAGAAGGTTTGTTATTCGTTTACCATTTAATTTCGTTGTTCACCTGTACCCACGAAATCCACGAAAATTGGTATCCAACGAATAATAATGAATCCACAGTATTTATTTGTTTTATTATGACATAATAGAAAAATATCCTGAAAAATTGAAAATCATGAATATCTGTTCTGATTAAATATAGGTTTTATCATCCCTTTGTAAATTTGATAATGCATCTGATGAGAACTTATAAACAGACAAATAGTCAGGAACATATTTGGTGTTCATTTTTTCACTTAAAAAGTCAATAGGATTTAAGTTTTTATGTTTTTCTTGAGTTTTTTGTTTATCATTTTTGCTTCTCAGGAAATCTTTTATTCTTAATGATAATTTTCATGTTCATTTTGTGATTTGCTGGAAAAAATAAAGCTGACTTAACAGATCATTTATTTCAGCTATATATTCACACTTGACTAAATGACCTAGATCTGATTGAAATACACATCCTTGGTTTACGCTACACTCACAAGGATCTGACAATACTAAGTTCTACTTTCCTGTTCTGATAATTATTATGTCAACAGGGCTTCCAAAACGGTCATATATTCCGGACTTGACCGAAACTTTCATAAAAAGACTCAAACGGTCAAATAGAATTGGTGTGCCACATTTTGTTATTCAAGGCATTTTCATGAAACGGTCATTTCAATTTTTACCAACTATCGATCGATAAAAATGTCCGTTTGGGGCTTTGGGCATGTCCGTTTGGGCATTTTAGTTTATAATTGTGGCAATCTATTTCACAAAGATATTTCGGTCATAATTGGGTTTAATAAAACAGAAGCAGCATATTTCAGATACTTTGAAGTGTCTCAGTTAGTCTAATCCTCTGGGTACATAAATGTACGGCTTGGTCTTTAGCTTGTGTACATCAATAAAAAGTAGAAAAAACACGTTTTCTTTTATTTAAATAACAACAAGCTGTCAAACAATTATCTCTTCAATAAGTTATATTGAAGCCATAAATCATTCACTGATTACAGGTTTGTTACCTTTGATGAGGTGTCCTTAGCTTATCTTTATCAATAGAATTAATGATGCATAACAATGTACATAAAGGTAATCCGGTAAACGAGGTCAAACATGTAAGCGTGTATGGAACAACATCCTATTTAATTACGCTTTATAGATATTATTTTAAATGAGCATTCAGTTTTAAAAGTATCCTGATATTTAAAAGTTATTCTTCAAATAAGGATATTTATAAATGAATAAGTATGATATATATTATTTTATTTAACACTGTACATCGTGTTAAATACTGGGGTACTCTCAAGGGGAAAATTTACTAAAATATATAGGAAAAACTAATGGACAAATTTCAGTCAATAAATGATTTAACTAAGTTAAATGGTGCCGTGATCACTTCTAAATTATACCAAGAGAACAATGCCTGCTCCGAATTTATTCAGACAATTTCCGATGTTATAGAGAAAGAGGTGATGTCCGACGTAAAGTTAAGTCCCGCCATGGGAATTATGATCGACTAAGGTGTAGTCTAGGTATTGACGCTTTAGATCAACTTATGAGGATAAGCTTAGTAGGTGTAGATGTTAAAGACTTTGACCCTGTTCCTGCTATCCGCAAATGGCAATCCGTTCGTAACCGCCATGTTTATCAGAACAATGCATTTAGCAAGCTCATGAATGTAAAATCTTTAATTAGACTAAATGAACTCTAATCTTGTGCTGTGATCTGTGCTTCTTTTCAATGTGCTCATTGTAATATTTATTGCGTGTGTTTGTCAGCATTGTGCTCTTCTGACATTTTATTGTTGTTATATGCTTACATAAAATATCATGTTGTTATTCATTAAATTATTTATCAACTGAGTATGTTTTTATTTATTCCTTATTTTCTAAATCAGGTTGGGAAATTGTACAAAGAAAAATGTTATCACTGTTCAGTAGATTTTACACGGTTTAAAACAATATCCTTCATCGGGCCTCCTCAATGTTATCTATAAATACCGCATCAGTTGTAAAAGTCACGTGGTCAGGTAATCAATACACAAAAAGAAAAGTATCACGTGTATTGATGATCAAGTTGTACTGCAATTAAAGCCAACATCAACAGTTTCAAATAAGATGGCCTTAATTTACAAAGTGTTAAGTACTCACAGAGAGAAGATAGATTATATAAACAGAAACAAAAACATGAGAACAGTCAGGTACTGAAGCTGATTGATGCAATGATGGTTACTGTATTACGATACACAGAAAAATGACACAATACCGAGGATAATATTTTATTTATTTTTAGAATGAAGAAAACAAAACAGTTATAAATAATTTTATTGCATATAACACTACTAATTATTTAGACACATATATCAATTTATGCATCCTCTCAGTTACATTTAAGTATCCAGCTGATCATTCAGGCTGTCGTCAGGAAATTTTGGAAGCCCTGTATGTCAACCAATGAAATTTCTGTCTAGAAATTTGTGATGGTGCTTTTATCATTATAACAAACCCAAGGATCCCAATTCCTGAAGAAGGTCTTCAAAAAAGAAAGAAAAACAGTTGTGCCAGATCCTTGTTAGCAATGGGTGGAAACTAAATAAAATTTTTTTATCAAACTGATATGACCCAAAACAATTTAAATGTGTCATGCAGCATTATTTTCTACCAGAACATTTTGTCAAGTAGGAAAGCTATATTACAGGTTTCTCAAGAAGTGTGTTAAAAACATGATATGATATGTGAGGGTCTGGATGGGGTTCCTTTATTCCTTTATCCTTTAATTTTCTGTACCATTTTTCTCTATTATTTATTTATTTTGCCCATTATTCTCTATTCTTTATAATTTAGCACCCCATTAATCTCCTTTCTTTATTTTGTTTGCCTATTTTTTTCTATTCTTTATTTATTTTTGCCCATTATTCTCTATTATATAAACTCCATCCAGTCCCTCATATATATATTTTTAAACTTGGTAATGGGAGATAACTCAGATGTAAAACCAAGTACTTGTCTGATAAAGCCAGATACTTAAGAACAGTTTAAATTTTGTTGCTTTTCTGTACACTTCTGCAACATAACTTTTCAATATAAACATGTTAAAATGTTTCTCTCCATGTTGGAAAAGGACTGCAAAAGTGCTAACAAAATGGATGACAATTTATAACAGATGTACAAAATATTTTGGGGGTGTTAAAATACAAATCCTGTGAAGATCATTTTTTTCGCTAAAATACTGTTTCAACAAAAGTTTTGAATACCTAGCAATGTAGATTCATTTGTTTTTATGGATACCAATTTTTGTGGATTGAAGAAACATTATATTTTCGTGGATATTTGATTTCTTGGATCTGTATAAGTTTGCATTCAAGCTTAAAAAAAAATTGTACTTTGTTGAACATTTTAATTTGTGGTTCACCTGTACCTACAAAATCCACCAAAAATTGGTGCCCAACAAATAATAATGAATCCACAGTTTACCGAAATATCTCACATATTCCATGATAAATCTACCATTATTTGGTTGTAAAAAACTATGAAGTTTAATTAGGTCATATTTTTCAAACTTTTAAACTGTTAATGTTACCTTGTGGAGACAATGTGTTTGGATGAAAAACTCTCTCTTCACATATCTGACAGTGTAGAACTGGTACAATTTTATCTATGCAGCTATCCCCTTCTTTGGCCCCTCTTAAAATACGTACAACAATGAGGAAATTATCATGTGCACACACCGATAATAACACATCAATTCCTTTGTTACATTTTGCACATGACCTGAAAATACAAAAGGTCATATTATCATCAGGAAAATTAGAAAGATGGTTCTATCCATGTTCAAGTTGAGCAAACAGACCACAGCAATAAAAATTCAACACTTAAGAATGTTTGCTCCTCTTTGTTTTTGAATTTTTGCCAGATATTTGGAATCCTCTGGTTTTATCCATGTAGTGCCATTAAAAATTTTGCTCGCTAACCCCTACTTTTCTTTTTGTCGTTTTATTACATATAGTTTTAAAAAGCCATATTTCAAAAAATCTTATATAAAGTTCTTGTTATATTTTCATAGTTTTTGAAAGAAAAATGGTGCCAATGTTAAATGTATGAAAAATCTAGAGAGAATCATTTCCTGCCAAATTTTGACTGTCTTATATAACAAAAAAAAGCAAACAAACCCTTCATTTTTTTCAGCCATTTCAGTTCCTTTATTTATATACTATCAATTTTTAACAGTCTTTATAAAAGCTTATTATTTTGAAACAGAGTATCGAACATCCTTAATAGGATAGTTGCTACCAGTTAATCATATTCATGTCATCATCAAACTTTGTATGTTATTCATTTTTTCTATCTAATGATTAAATGATACATGTTGTATTGATGATGATGGATGGTTGTTTAACATCCAGCTGTAAATTGAATGCATATTCAGGATGAAAACATGTTAATGTAATATGAATATTAATCCTGCTTTGTACGAGACTGACACATAAGCAAGATTTTTAACGCGCTAGTTCACAAGGTAACATTCCCCAGAAAGACATGACACCCTACCTGGACACATTATTCTGACTCCAAGCCAACCAGTCTTTGCTCTTACTCCTTAATGCCTCGTGCTTAGTGGAGAAGCAGCAAATACCAATTATAAAGTCTTTGGTTTGACCCAGCTGGCATTAGGAACTATGACCTCCCGCACTAATGTTTAAATGATGTCTTTGTCACATCATGGATTTTAACCATGCACGTGGCAGGCGTGTATGACTCCAATCTTAATTGACTAGGATTGTCAGTAATTCAGTGGAAAGTTGGTGGTCCTCTCAAGCTTCCTCCACCAATAAAAACTTACCGCCACGATATAGCAAATAGTGCTGAAAATGGTGCTAAACACCAACAATCAATCAATCAATCAACATGATCAATGATTTAAAAGTTTGTACAATTGAATTATTGGAACTTTTCATACACACGCTAATGAAGTTGCACGAGAATTCCAAATGTGAAACCATTTAGACCGGGTACAGTACCACATTTCTCTTTTTATTCAATGAAAAAATAATTGCAATGCAAGGACCAACCAAAGGATGCATGAAGGGCTGAGAACTATAAATCTAAAATCTTATGGCCTAATATTGATTGACATACCTGACTATATTTGCTATGACAATTCTGAGAGCTAGCTCTTTCATATAACTGGTTTTGATAACGCTTGCTCCATAATGTCTATGTATAACATGAGCAGTTCTTGTAAATTTTGATGAAATGTCGGTAGATGATACACACAATATTCCATTATGTTTTAAGTTCATCACTGCTGAATCTAAAACATTGACTAAATGCTGGTTTGGATTCATGTTTCTGAAAAATAACATTCAAGATCTGTAAATAAACCAACTTCTTTTCCGGGTGATTTATTTTTCAGGACTTTTGCAAGTAGAAACATTACCGGAATATGTAACGTAGCCAATATGTAAAACTTGGGTCTAAACTTATATAAATACATCAAGACAATTAGAAAATCTTCAAAAAAAATCACAGCACAGTTGACTGATAAGGGTTACAGGTGGAATTAATTATCCACAAAATAAGTTTGTTTACAGTATTGGACCTGTGAATGATAGGTTGGGTTAATTTGATATACCGACCATTTTTATTGTAAATCTATAAATAAATAACACATCAAATATATATATGGGAAATATATGTGCATAGCTCTAGAAAAATTATGAGCCTTAGAAACAAGATAGAAAGGCAGTCCAGAGTTCTCAAAATCTTATTTTCCCTGGTGATCCTTGAAGAAAATCTGCTAGTGTTCAATATATTCTTTATTGCAAAATACCAAAATTGTGTTGGTCCTTTATGAAATTTTGGTGGTCAAAACCTTCAGATCACCATTTTTTGTGAACTTTGGCAGTCTATCATAAAGGAGGGGTATGTGCACAGTTAAGTGCATTGGAAATAAAATGGGCATTTCACAATGAAAGAAAAATTAAAAAAAAAACATTTTGCTTTTTAACCAATTTGTGAAAAAGAACATCAAGCGCAAAGAAATGTGAAAGAAAATTATCAAACCTGTTGCACAAAATACCCTGTTAAGGAGGCTCGCGGGTACAAAAATTTCAGCAAAAAATCAAACATTTTGTTTTTCATTACAAATTTTATTTATTATACTATTAGTTGTTACTTTATGAAATGGTACAAAAATCAACCGAGAAAATCGATTCATTTTGACCCCAGATGACTTTTAAAATGTTTATATCATTGAAAAAGCTCCAAATTATCTCCCTTTGGTGTAAAAATGCCATTTTTTTTGCATAAAAATTGAAATATCTTTTTCAACTCATCGGTGACCTATATTTTTTATTATTTTTTTCAAATAAGCTGTACTTAAACTAAACTATATTAAAATTTAAGCGATTTCTGTAATTTAGTTCTTTTTTTATTTCATTATTACCTTTTTTTCTCCTATTAGTTTAACAGAAAAAAAGTACCTGAACAAAAATGCATGCTTATTTCAAAGGCAGATTTTGAGCTTAAATGAACGGTGACCCCATATTTTTATTTTGTTTTTCTATTAAGTAAAGGATAAAGTTTATTTATAGAAAAAAATAGCGAAATCCTATATTTAAAAAAAAAATTGATTTATACCCGTGAGCCGCCTTAATACACAACAAGATTCAATAGACTTTGTTTTCTTTTTGGCTTAAGATATTGTGAATGTTTTAAAACTGTTTGGGATTTCTTTGGTAAAATTTTCAAAAAAGTAAATATATTTGTCTTCTTTTATTTATGTTGCTTATATGGTTTTGTAGTTTAAAACAAAAGAAAATATACTAACACAAAATCAAAGGCTTCCATATGTAGAACAACATTAGCTGAACATTTTGCAATATATATTTCATTAACATGCTGTGGTTCCATAGGATCTCCAGGTATTCGATTTATATCTAATGGTAGATCTCGACATAACAGACTGTATGTGTCTAAATTTGATTTCAAAGAATCATCAATCTCCCTGTCTGCTATTGTCACATGAATTTGATCCTTCAAGGCACTCTTCCATATTATCCCAGATTGACCTGTTAAAAGAGATAAAAAAAAAAACAAACTAATATATGATCTTTTCAACGTTTGTATTGGGTTTTGATTTTCAAATATTGTGGCCTCAAGTATTATTACTCCCTACTTTTTTATTCGAGCGTCACTGATGAATCTTTTGTAGACAAAACAAGCATCTGGCATACAAAATTTTTATCCTTGTATCTATGATGAGTTTATTGACACAGTTTGAAGATACAGAAATTAAGCCATGAGTTGACATATTAAATTATTACAGAAACAATGATTGAAAAAATAAACTGTTGACACAGAGATACGTCTCCCCTATCGGCATAAAATTCAGAAAAAGACAATCTGATGGACAGCAACATTGCTTATTAATTCAGTCATTGGACCATGATCTAGTGGGCAGAGCCTGAAAATGGTCGACAAACTGAGATGTACAGACAGTAATGTAACTTAATAGAAAATTTTGTTGTTTATTGTAAGTAGTTCCTATCAATATAACTTAAGCATAAAAACTTAACATTGAAAATTGCTAATTAATTCAAAGTCACTGGACCATGTCCTAGGCAGCGGGCCTCAAAATAGTCATTAAACTGATATGTACTGATAGTAATGCAACTTCATACAAAATATCATTGATCTATCACAAGTAGATCCTATCAAACTAACTTAAGCAGAAAACTTAACATTAAACATTGCTAATTAATTCAAAGTCACTGGACCACGTCCTAGGAGGCAGGGCCTCAAAATAGTTGTCAAACTGATATGTACTGATAGTAATGCGACTTCATACAAAATATCATTAATGGATCACAAGAAGTTCCTATCAAACTAACTTAAGCAGAAAACTTTACAATTGTTGACACTGTTGCCGTTGCAGGGAAAGCAATCCCTATGTCTCACTTTCCATGACTTTCTTTGCAGGTGAGACAAAAATGCATATTGAACTTTTTTTAATCAGAATGTCACCTGCCCGCAGTGCTATTAAAAATTTCTAGGGAGATCTTTATTTCTGTAAGATCTTAGGCATATTATTGAGATTCACTGGACTTTAAAGAATTTAGAAATGAGATTTCCAAAAACTTTACCCCTTCATATTAACTGATCCAGTGAATATCAATAACGTTGTAATATATACAAACCAGATTTATCTAAAACATCAACACAATACAGTGGTTCATGTCGCTGTCTGACCTCTGCTGATAATACACATAATACCATGTTTCTGAAAAAATTTAACATATTAATGTAAGGATTTGTAAAAATAATAATGTATGATTAAGAGTTTCTGAAAAAAATGTATATATGTATCTTGTGTAAACGTAAGCAGATGCTGATCCAGGTTTGGGAAAGGGGGGGGTGCTTGGGCCCCCAAACTAGACAAAATTTGTAGTTGAACCGATAAAAAGTCTGGATTAACCATAAATAAAGCTCCATAAGGGGGGGCCTGGGCACCCGGGCCACCCCCCTAAATCCGCCCCTGGTAAGGGTTAGCAAACATACATATAAAAGCTTTATTGCACTGCACTTCTGTAAATTTTTCTAGACAAGATTAGAAAATATTTATTTTCAGAACTAACAAAAATCTCCTTACAGGGTTTTGAGGCTATCATTTATATTTTTTATCAAGCCAAAAAAAAAAGTATACTTATTTTCTGTCTCCTTGCAAATAAACTTTTACCTATTTTATATGAAAGCAGATTTATTTTAATTTTTTCAAATGAATTGAAGAACTATTGTATTGCATATTAAAACAATAAACTGTATACAATTTATATTCAATATAAATTTCTGATGCCAGATAGAATTAAAAATATTTAAGAATTGGATGCTCCTTTTTATAATTTTATTGGGGTGTAAAAGCATTGACCGAAGCTTCATACTATAAATGTATGCATGATCAGTTGATATTTTTCTGTAAATAAAGAATGAAGGAAGGTGTTTAATTTTTATTTATGATTCATAAAATTTCCTGTGCTCAATTTTGGATGGGTAATCTATTTTGCACCTTGTATTTAATAAACATGATAAATCTTCAGTTTTTTTTTAAATTCTTTCAAATGATTTTGTTAGTCCCTTTTTATTGCATGTTGTTACAACTACCAATGTAATTTATTTTCTGCTGTATAATTATCTTTTAACAGGTCTGCCCTGCTTGTAATTATTGTCTGCTTACATTGTTTTAAAAAAAAATCTCAAATTAGCATAAAAATCATTATATTGGGGAAAGAAAAAAATGTAAGTGCTAAATGTTCCTGTTTTAGTATGAAAAGGGTTAAATTATAGGTAAGAGAAGACAAAACATGTTAATATGATGTACATTATAAAACCATGTTTTAACCATCAATTTTTCTAGAAAAAAATCTCAAGTCAGGGATATGACATTCATGAAATTTATTGTTTGTTGATTTAGTTGAGCAATTCTTGACTTTTTGTATACAGACTTATATATTCTTTTCGACAGTTCTCTTTGAGTCCAGTATCTTCGCTATTGCCTTTTATATCAAGTAATATTTAACTTATAAACTTCAACAATGCATGTGAGTATACAACTTACTGAAATGCTTAAATTTATGTTAAAAAGTGAAGGTCTGGCAAAAACTCAAAGGGTCCGACTAGGTGGACAAGTCTGTAGGACCCATTGTCTGACAGACTTAAAAAAATTTCAACAGCACTGAGTCAATTGAAAAAGTTCACATATGTAACTGGATCAGGTAACTTTCTACCATTGCTAACTATCTGACATCAAGTTGTTATTTGCTTAACCAACTCAAATGATATGCTATTTATCTTTTTTACTCTTAATCAGGTTTGACTAATATTTCACAGCTAATATTTCGGGTAACAAACTGACTTTTCTGTTTGTCATGACAGACACAATGCCAATCCAAGACACTTATCTCAGTATGTCCCTACATGTATGTGTACTGAACAATGTACATGAAACTGCAAAACCATTTACATATTCAAGTCAAATTGCCATGGGTGGTTTCCTGATACATGTAGATCTACATGATCTATAGTGCCCTATTTATATAATTGATCAAAGATGGCTCAATGGTAAAAGTATCACCAAATTTGAGGAATACTATGAGTTCGTACCTGTCAACCTCTCTGAAAATTATTTAAAATTTTGAACTTGTTTTCATTTCAACTTCATTGCATTTGTTAAATATCTATCATTAATCAAATATCAGTATAAAACAATGCCCTCTAATTGTTTCTTTCACACTACTTTTTATTAATGAATTTTATAAACATCAACTATAAAAAGAAATCAGTTATAGCTAATGTGCTCCTATCAACACAGGAGGAAAATAAAGAGTTGACAGGTAAGTGACTTTTTTTTCTCCCAAAGGTTGATGATTGGCACCAGAAGTTTCTCATGATCTGACATAAGCATGATTAGGAAATGTTTAGGAATCTACCTTCACCATGTTTACTTGAAAGAAAATTTAAGACTTTCTAAAAAAAATTAAATTACATTTTTTCCGCCAATACAAAACATGCAAAATAAAAATAAGTCTTACAACCAATAAGTAAAGATATATCGATCACAATTTAAGTAACACCTATTACATAATAATTGAATTTTTATAATGTCATTTTAACAAAAAAACATGTGACAGGATTGCTTCCCTTAGGTAGTAGATACTTAGCTTTATAGGTAGCTGTAAATGGGAAAGTACTTCTTTATCTCAGTTGGTTATAGCACTGAATTGTTACACAGAGGTACCAGGTTCGACTTCCTGAAGAGACAATGTGATTTTCTTATGTGAATCATAATCGCTATTTTCATTTTGGGCCCAATTAAAAAAAAAAAACCAAGGTGGTTAAAGAAGACATCTAGCCAGGGTATGTGTTGTGAGAGTCATAATAGTATGATGACTTTTGAGGTAATGGATGTGAGACGAGAATGCTTCTCTTGCATAGTAGAAATCAGTAAGTGGTTGAGCTAGATTCTCAGTCCGGAGTAATTTTCTAATTTGGCCACAGAGAATACAAAAAGGGATTAGGTGAGCTTTAACTTGCAAAACAGAGGGAAATGATTCAAGTCCCTGAGCAGGGTTTTAGATTGCCATCGGTCATCGGCCATTGACTGTAATAAATAAAAAATGACTGATACTTTTTTGTCGAAGCTTACACTGTGACCGATTATTTTTGGTTACTTGTGACGAAATGGCCATTGTAAATTTAATAGAATCAGACCAGCGACGATCAACTACGACAGCAGAGAAACCTCCCATGATAAATCTATTTTGTTTGAATCGGAATTCCAATGCCTACAATTAAATTACTTCCGTTGTTAATTAACGGCAGATCGTGGTGCGTGTTATGAATTTGTCGTGACTGGTTCCTCAAATAACCAGTTTCATGTAAACATGTTCGGCGAAAACAAAAAAAGAAAACTGCGCTGAGGTAAAAAAAACTCTGACAGACATATTGGCTGTAAGGTCAGCAAGGTGTCGGATCATGATGGAATTTCTGAAAACGAGACGGGTGCCGAAATTGAAGACCACACGCTGGACGAAACCAAAGAAAAAGCCCCAAGTAGTATCAGAAAGTTCCAAGACAAATGGTTATCGCTTTACCCCTGGCTGAAACATGACAACAAAATTTGTTTTATAAATCTTCCCATCCCGATTTCCTAGTCTTACATGATCTTTTTTATTGAATAAGCCACAAAACTGACTATAAAACAAAACTAGATTGAACTTTTATCTTGAAAAAAATAAAAGTTTTTCATTGGCTTATACATTTCATTTGTAACCTAAGTCGCAACTAAAAATGCAATTGGGACTTGCAGAGCAATGATCAAAAGATACAACCAACCAGTATGTGAAGTAATTGTACTTCTTTTTAATCAGTGATCAGAGCCTGTATTTCCCAATTTCATTATTTGTTACAAAATTCTGGTCTGTAAAGATACAAATTTATTCTCTAATATTTTTTTTTCCAGTTAAAAACTTGTGTTTTTAAAAAGATTTAAACACTGGCAGAGACCCTCAGAATGCAGCATTTGGAGTCTAAGTTTTAAAAATTGTCAAGGCCCGACTGATGCAACTTCAACTCACAGGACAATTTGTCTGATATAATATTGGCTATACAGGACAGTAGTCCTATGATGGTCAAATAGAAACAGAATCACTGCCGGAGGAGACAATGTGATTTTCTAATAAGAATCGGGCTCTTCTGGTAACTAGTCCAAACAATTGTGACGTCTTGAAAGGCTATCTTATTTTTTTGCTGTGACGCCTTCCTATGATTAAAATAGCCTTTCAAGATGTTAGAATTATTTGGACTATAGATCCATGCAGTTACACATCATAGACCTTATTGCTATTTGGGAATCTGCGACACATGACCTCAGAATTTGAGACACTTAAACTATTGACATCATGCAACAATCAATTTTCTTTTCTGGCGTCAGACATTTTCTATTGTGACGTCAAAATTTTACGGGAACTTTTGTGATGTCCAGTAATGGTGGACAAATGAATTCTAGTCACTTCTGCACCTATTTAAATTGGCGCCTGGTTTATTTGGCACTAAGGTAGTTATTTTGGCACCCAAAATTAACATTAAACTTTGCAAGTAAGCTATTGAAGACTCATTTTTCTAGCTGGCAATGAAAATTTCATGCCAAAATTGGGTCTCAAAGTTCCCCCCAAAATTCGCTCTCAAAGTCCAGACGGAAAAAATGGCTTCAGCGTTATGACGTTGTAGGAAGGCGTCACAGAAAAAAATTAAAATAGCCTTGCAAGACGTCATAATTATTTGGACTAGTATAAATATAGAAAATTGAATATTTTAATCATTGTTATCATATACCCAAGCTGTGGTCGATTTGACTTTTTCTATAGGTGCCGAATTGACCAGGTGACGATTTTTACTTGTACCCCCAGACAAATTATTATTTATAGCGATAAGGTGTATTATTTTGACTGGGTACATTATAACATATGTGATAAATGTGTATATACGTTTACCTGATGCTTTGAATTCTGTTGTGCTCGATACATGGTCGCTTTGGAACTGATGTTGTCATATTGAATGATAGTTTGACGTGGGAACTTTTTCAAATATACCGGCTAAATATTTCTGCTTTCAGTTTCACTTCGTTCAAAAAATGCGTTTCCGGTACAAACTAAATTTAGTGTCAAACTCGGTGATCCTACGCGCGTAATACGACATTGTAAAGCATTTACTTCTATAACACTCCAACTGTTCACCTGGGACAGTATACCTTATAGGGGGCACGGTAGTATTTCCTAGCCCATAAGGGATAATGATAGCCTTTTTAGAATTTTCACCACTTTCTAACACTGCCAAAAATTCTACTTAAACAGTTAACTGAAGTACTTTCATTATACTATTCAGAAATGAATTTGAATATGTATCATGACCGTTTACTTTTTTTGATATCTTTAAAAACCTAAGGCCACTAGTGCTTTTAGGTCTTTTATCATGCAGTGAATACAAAATTTAAAAAAATTCTCAAAAATTCATTTTTACCTGTATGTAAAATTATTTCATATTTTTCTACACCTAGTGATTCATCCCTCAGTTTGGGAAAGTATGTTCAGTTGATACTGTATTTTTTGTCCAATCACACTGTTCAGATACATTGACCTAAGTAGGGTACACAAAAGAGGGTACACAAAAGAGCAACCTAAATTATGGAATGCAAATACTACCGTGCTACCTATACGCTGATACCTATTATTCTAGTATGAAGGCATGAATTAATACAATATATAGTGTTGCCGATAGCCCAGCAAGCATAGTGGACAACGGAATTTATTAATCATTTACATACATGTATCTTAATATATAATAACCACAATTACTCCGAATAACGAAACCATGATATACACTATTAGGTACAACTAAGCTAGAATAATGTAAACCTTATACGAACAAGGGCTATTATATGGTTGACATGAATGTAAACTGAATAACTGAATAAATAAATAACTCGATCATGAACGACCTCGCCGGCCAGGAACAATCAAACAAACCCAATAATGGGATAAACTGGAAACCTGGGTCCGACCCAATGCTACAAATCGTCTCACGAGACATACTCGGACGTGTGTTGTTTTGAAAACATATAAATACATGTATCATAATATATTCATAATATGAATGAAACTTGAATGTTGCCCTGTCTGCCGCGGGCTATAAAGTGATAGTCTCAGGGAAAAAAGTTCCCGCTATAAAATTAGTCACGTGTCTTATACCTAGTGACGTAAACTTATAAAACTATACGCTAGTACCGTACATACAATAATTTCTCCCTATACTAGCGAAACGTGAGAAATTATACTACTATATTGTCAGAATACTATCCCTAGGTCCATACGTTCCCTGAAAGACTACTTGAAATTTGCAGTACTTGGTGCTTAGCCTTTAGTTTAAAAAAATGAACCATTGTGATTATGTGTTGTGACCGGCCGCCGAGCCAGTATTTTCAAAGAGGCTAAAAAAAATTCCGGGGCAAACAGCTTTATTCAATGCCCAACGGTACTGCGTATAGGATATCTTCAGTGTATATATAGGCCTTTGTGATTTATTGGTTATACATTCTGTCCTCCTGAAGCATATGCATTCATCAAGGTTTTATTTGAGTTCTTCACAGTGATTGTCCAATTATTTCCTCACGTCACTTATCGGAAATTCTCCTTAAAAAAGCATTGTCAATAACATTTTCTAAAACTAATTTCAGTTACGATTTTGATGAAATTTTTAATGTTAAATTCATAAATGTGTACAGTTTTTATGGTTATTAGGGAATATTTTTATTACGTGTCATTACATGTTTTGTAGTTAAGTGTGACGTCCATTTTCATTGAACTAGTACACATTTTTGTTTAGGGGCCAGGCGAAGCCTGCCTCCAGGTGCGGAATTTTCTCGCTGAGTTGAAGACACACTGGTGGCCTTCGGCTGTTTTCTGCTTTGTGGTCGGGTTGTTGTCTCTTTGGCACATCCCATTTCCATTCTCAATTTCATTACTGCTGATGAGACAGCATCTCGGCGATAAAAGAATATGTTTGAAACAACTATGCACTTGGCTACCTTTTTTTCTTCAATTCGTTTTTAAAACGTCTTGGTTTCTTCAATTTGAATAATAGAAAATAAAACTATATATCAAACGAAAACTGGATAAAGGGAGAAACAAGTTTCTTTCATTAGTGAAAATTACTGCTTCATTGCTTATCTCAGAGTTCGAACCCTACACGTGGTAGCTTGGTTCGACTCCAATCTTAATTGACTAGGATTGACAGTTTCCGTGCCGAAGGTCAGTGGTTCTCACCGGGCGTCCAAGCTTTCTACACACAAAAAAAGCTGGGCGCCATGAAATAGCAAATAATGATAAAAGTGGCGTTAAAGACCAACAATGAATACATCAATCATTGTACATCTTAGACGTTTGACACACATATCATAGTTTTGTTAAACACGAATCTATTTATTTGAAATTGAATTTGACAATAGCAATTTTCCCGCATCGTATAATGGTGAATCTGGATAACACTGTAATATGTGCCGCTGGACATGAAAAAGCTTAACCTCTAATAATTTTGAAAAACTAGGAGAAAAGATGAATTTTGAAGCATAACTATTTTAAATATTTGTCAGCTTATTTAGGGGAAAGCAATAAGTAATGAGAAGATATTTAAGATTTCCAAGGATAAAGCAACATTGAAGGGGCCTGTCTTTAAAGGTTGGTGTGTCCATCATATTACATATGTGGCAACCTTTTTTTAAGGCTTTAACCAAATTAAACTTTTCAAAGTTATTAAAGTTCCATTGCTAACTTAATGTCGACACCTTATAATGTAGAATATCTATTTTAAACAGAAAAGGGTACTTTCTATGTCAAAAGATTGCAAAATTTCTGAGAATGAATAGAGCAGTCCCTATTCGAATGCAGCATTCGTTAACTTAGTAGACATGTCTTTTACAAGCAATACTTTGAACTAATGACAGTCTCTTTAACGATCCCATGCGCAAAAATGACAAAATTTAAAAACAGAGTATTGTCCCTGCTAACCTGAATAGTGTAGGTTTCAGCTCGAGACTTCCCAATGAAGACATTTTTTTTCAATTAAAAAATTTGAGGTACACAGTCTACAAAATGAAACAAAAGTTGAAAATCTGATGCTCGTCTTGGCGTATACTCAAGAATTTACTTATTCGGAACTGCTTAGACATGAAATGATGTCACAAGACACACGTGACCAGTCAAGGGTTTTATAGAACGAGTTGCCCTTCATACACCTTTGACACATAGTCCCACACTGCCCTAATGTTCTAAAGCATAATAAAAAATATCTTAAAGTCCACTATAAAAGAAATAACATAACTAATAATTTTAACCATAAAATTTTATATGAAAAAAAAACCCCACAGGTATTAAAGTTTACAATCAATCCAAATGACAGGAACTATATTTGTAGACAATCGATTACGAGCGACCAAACAGGTCATTCTTGAAAATCAGATCATTTCGTCATTTTCTATTTAGTTCTTTGAGTCTATTTTTTGATTTTTTTACTTTATTATTCATGACATGAAACCTTAAATTCATGTTTTAAAACATTCACGTGTGCATTGTGCTTCAATGAAAAAATATGGAGTAAACATCAATGAGACAGCCACCTAGTGACAGAAATCACTAAAAGACATGTGCTCGGTTTGACGGTAAACCAGTTATATGCGAGATTCCTTCACGGGAGAAAGGAAGAAAGACCATTCACAATTTGTCTTACAGTTGTTTTTCTCTCTTTTAATAAATAAAAAAAAAACAAAACCTTTCGAATGTTCAGTTCATAAGATAAAAATATTCCCTATGGAACAACCCAACCCCCATTTCTTTTTTTTGGTGCTCTCCAATTTCAACCCTCAAATAAGGCTTTGCAATCTAATTAAAATTAAAACCTTGTTTTCTAACCAATCTATTCATGTACCGGACCGGCAACTTTCTTTATATAATAAGAAAATTTACAGTGCCGTTATATAAATGCATGTTGTCTGCTTGAAGTCCCCGCCCGAAAAGAAAGAAATAGCCTAACTCCAAGATACTACATTCCTGCATCACGTGATTTTTGCCACGTGGAGCTTACATTAGAATGAATACCGAATATGGAAAGTGAAACTACAATTCAAAACATAAAATCCGAAGGCACATAGAAGAAAAAGTAGGGTTTTTTTTTTTGGCAAAGGGTGCCGGGGTAATCTTCTCTGTGTTCATAATATACATGAAATATTTGCCACTGCCCCTTGTCTGATCTATAAATTCTAACCCTGAATTTTCCATCTGTTACTGACGAGACACCATCTCAGCGATAAAAGAATATGTTTGAAAGAACTATGCACTTGGCTACCTTTTTTTCTTCAATTCGTTTTTAAAACGTCTTGGTTTCTTCAATTTGAATAATAGAAAATAAAACTATATATCAAACGAAAACTGGATAAAGGGAGAAACAAGTTTCTTTCATTAGTGAAAATTACTGCTTCATTGCTTATCTCAGAGTTCGAACCCTACACGTGGTAGCTTGGTTCGACTCCAATCTTAATTGACTAGGATTGACAGTTTCCGTGCCGAAGTTCAGTGGTTCTCTCCGGACGTCATAGCTTTCTACACACAAAAAAAGCTGGGCGCCATGAAATAGCAAATAATGATAAAAGTGGCGTTAAAGACCAACAATGAATACATCAATCATTGTACATCTTAGACGTTTCACACACATATCATAGTTTTGTTAAACACGAATCTATTTATTTGAAATTGAATTTGACAATAGCAATTTTCCCGCATCGTATGATGGTGAATCTGGATAACACTGTAATATGTGCCGCTGGACATGAAAAAGCTTAACCACTAATAATTTTGAAAAACTCGGAGAAAAGATGAATTTTGAAGCAGAACTATTTTAAATATTTGTCAGCTAATTTAGGGGAAAGCAATAAGTAATGAGAAGATATTTAAGATTTCCAAGGATAAAGCAACATTGAAGGGGCCTGTCTTTAAAGGTTGGTGTGTCCATCATATTACATATGTGGCAACCTTTTTTTAAGGCTTTAACCAAATTAAACTTTTCAAAGTTATTAAAGTTCCATTGCTAACTTAATGTCGACACCTTATAATGTAGAATATCTATTTTAAACAGAAAAGGGTACTTTCTATGTCAAAAGA